GAATTTGGTATTAATTATATAATTCATGAACAAATTGATTTTGGTATTTTCATTTCCTTCTTTAGTTACTTCAACCTCCACCAGAGAACGTGTATATCAACTGAATACCCCTCTGGGGGTGTTCCATTGAGAAGACAACCAATGAATTCCAGGACCAGGCCTCCAGACAGGGTTATGCCCCCCTTCCTGTCCTCCATCTACAGTGCTACCCAATTAACGAGAAACCCGCCCTACAGGAACCATCCTTCCAGTGCCCACTCTATCCCTCCAGAATAGCCCCACGGGACCCCATCATGGAAATCGACATCAAGAAGGAGGGTATCCCGCCCATGAGATGGGCACTACGTGGGCTCACTGCTACCATCTGGCCTTATTAATGAAAGAAACTGCCAAAGACGTTTTCTTGTGTTGTATTAAAAAATCCAAAATAATGACTTTTAGGAGTGATTTCTTAAATAAGATCTGACATTTTTTTTCTCTGACCTTGTGATTTATTGAAATTTTTACTGTATGACATATTGCATTATATAGATAAATAGGTATTTTTTGCTGAATGCAAACCTTATTCCGTCCTCATCACGTTCAATCTGTGATTACAATGGTTGTGTACAGAGTAGATTTGTATTATTATGGTTGTGTTTCTCTGTGACAGTGATGCATTAAGTATTTGTTTATACTCTTGTTGATATTGTTTTTTTTATTTTAAAATATATATATATTTATTTCTATTTTAAAGACTTTTCATGCATATGTGTCAATATTGTATACTGCTGAGTTTGATTAAAACTTGAATGTTGTAATCTTTTTTTGTCATTGTGTTTACATGATTATTTGATTGTACATTTTTAACGTCCTTCTTGAGAATGTTTTACTCATATGGAGACACCAGCACTTGCCGTTAGAGAGCATGCAACTCTGAAATGTGAATTATTCACACAAATATTCATTTCGTAAATAATGGCTTCTATAGTGATATACTGATGTTTATCCTGCAACTACCCCTTGCATTGACCCAATAAAGGTAACCTAATAAACCAAAGCTTTATCCGGTCACTGTCCTAATAAAGCCTCGTGCATGTATTCTGACGTTCTAAAAGCATTGTGACGTCATGTATATTGCAATGTTTATGCCATTGAGTCATAGTTTCAACGGCAAAGACGTGCCTAAATCTGTCGAAAATAGCTAGTTTTGGACGTTCAAATGTAAAGAATATGTTGCAGGATAAACAAAATACATGAAAACTGTCTTGAAATGTAAGCATTATTTGGGCTCGGGTCGAAAACGGAAGAGGGCTCAGCAAGCCTTGCCCTCTATCACGTTTTCTAACCCTCGCCCAAATATCGCTTATATTTCAAGACAGTTACCATGTATTTTATATATCTTTGACCTTTTGCCTTGGATTCAATATTCCAATTCTGCCCTGCTAGCAATCCAGTGATATATGTACCATTCACTTTTGACCATCTGATTGTCCTTGACCTTTTGACACTGTTATAACTATTCTTATGTATTTTTATAACACTGGCCACCTTGCAAATTCTGCATGTTTGAATTGATACTGCTCATTTCTGATATTTGAACATCAAATGCATGGGCTCTTTTCAATTTTTCTTCTAAATATGCAAAATCTATAGCACTTTAATTAAAGTTGCTATAGACTGAGTCAAATTTTTAAGTATACATAATATATGCTATATATCTTTTTGAGGACATGAGTAGGAACATATTCTGACAATGATCTCAAACTTTGATCCTCAAGTGAGTAGATTTTGGCTTCTTGTCATCTACAACCTGTCTAGCAAGGTTTTAAGTAAAATTTTCACACAAGTCTACAACACTAACCACAACAACAAAATCGTTAATTCTGATCCTGAAAAAAATTCCAACTTAAGTAGCTACAAAAGTCAATATTATTAAAGACAAGTATAATCTCTATAAGATTCAAGTTTTTTTTTTCAATTTATGTGTGGATACGACTGAGCCATGTCACAACATCAGATATGTCAACTTTGATATCTAATACCGATAACAACAGACTGAAAGGAATATATACTCACCGCCAATGGAAACGCAACAACCTAATTTTAGGATTGAAAATTATATACAGGTTATAACTATGTACCAAAAAAGTTAGGACATCTTTTACTTTGCCAAATCAGTTATTTAACGGTAGAATGAATTTCTTTCCATTACCGGAAGTTGCCTTTTAGCCCTCTTAACAGAATTCAAAATTTTCCATTTTTAATAAAATTTTAACAATATTTTGGGTTTCCAAGGTTTTGAAACTGTTAATCATAAGTATTGTACTAAAAGGCCGGGAAAAAATCCTTCTTTCTTTACCGGGCGTTCTGCCTATATTTCCTCAAAATGACTGATAGCAAGAAGGGGGGATGATTTATGAGTTTTATGTTACCTTCAAAAGTTTAATGATAACATAAAAAATGAATATATTTGGGTAAAAAGTAAATTTACAAAAAAATAATGCTCCATTTAAACATTAAATGTTATTTTTAGATCTTAGAAAGAAACAAATACCCGTTAAATCTTAAAACATCCCCCCTTCCGACCATTTAATGAAAACGTACTAGTCCGCCATATACAACAAATGCAGCCCGATTTCAACCATGCATTAAGTTTATTAATGTTTTAATCTAAGCGAAATTAATATTCTTGGGCAATTTTAAATACATGTTTTTCAGATATTGCGGTCGAATTTTCTCTAACCTGGCGTAGTGTAGCAACTTTTTGACTTTCGGTCAAGAAACTGCCATTTATGCTATTGAAACACATGAACCTGATGGACCGTTATATAGTGTATATTTGCATATGCAGCTCTTTTTTTATTTATTTTGAGAATTTCTAGTATAAGCAATGAAAATCAGTCATTTTGAGGAAATATAAGCATCTCATTAGGTAAAGAAAGAAGGATTTTTTCCCAGCCTTTTAGTGCAATACTTATGATTAACAGTTTCAAAACCTTGGAAACCCAAAATATTGTTAAAATTTTATTAAAAATGGAAAATTTTGAATTCTGTTAAGAGGGCTAAATAACAACTTCCAGTAATGGAAAGAAATTCATTCAACCGTTAAATAACTGATTTGGCAAAGTAAAAGATGTCCTAACTTTTTTGGTACATAGTTATAACCTGTATATAATTTTAATCCTAAAATTAGGGTGTTGCGTTTCCATTGGCGGTGAGTATAGTTCATATTTAACCATATTTTCGAAATTTAATGCGCAATTATCATATCCTAAATCTTTCAACCCCCACCTCCAACTTAAAATTAGACAACATGGATTTGCTTTTATCCTTACATGTAAAGTATAATCTAGTTTTATTACAACATCATCACACTACTTCAAAATTGTACCATGTTATGCCATGACAATACTTTATTCTCATAAATATGGTACTAGAAACAATGCACATTACATAACAAATACAACTATATGACAATGTGCATGTTTGGAAATTAACCAAGAGAACAGGTTTAGATGTACAGTATATATACACTATAACATTATATTATAAATATTGCTCCCAAATTATATACATCAACATCTTAACCCAACAAAACCCAGTAGACTTGTATACATTCATCAACTCTGTTAAATAAATTTTTCAGAATAAAAAAATGAATGAAAATATTTGAATTTACAAACTAGCAAATTTTTTATATGTTAATTTAAGGTAGTCAGATTATTAGGTTTGTAACATTAGCAGTTAAAAAATCAAAACTACTCATAAAAGTATCTCTGAATCCACAATGTTATGTAAATTTATCCACAGTATTTCTTTTAAGTTAAAGATTATAGTTAATCATAATATATGTCATATCTTTAATATTTCTGCAGGAAAAGAGAATTTGAATATCAGCAAAACATTTTCTGATTGCAAATTGATCAAATATATATTTTAGGTTTGAAAAACGATAGGTATCCAGGCATTCAGAGAAACTGCCTTGATTTTTATACTTAATTGGTATTTTTTATCTTCTATTTCTGTCATGTATTCTATAATACATAGTGTAAAAGGCTTTTGCTATAATTGCAAGGTACCATACTGTATGTTTCGAAGTTGTACACGTTGTAAACATTGTCAATACTTGAGCACAGCTTTTTGTACCAAGGAATTATAGTTACTTGAGTGCAGCACGTATAACGTGTATGCATGTATAACACATGTAGTATTTTATGTAGTAACCATAAATGCATTAAATGCAACTCATTGAGCTGATTGCTCGATTTGTAAGTCATGTTGGTTCCTCACCGAACAGACGTCACAAAACATGGTTTCTAGACCTGATGATTCTTGCGATGCTTTTCCCGCGCACATGCGCAGATCCAGCATAAACGTCAGTCCTTTATAAATATGCATGAGAACACCGTGTTCTTTTCCCGACCAGTGTTTTTGTAAATACTGAATAATATTTCGTCGAATTTGCAAGAATGCTTCATTTTTTATAGCTTTTCATACTTCAGAAATTTTTGTTTGGCTTCAGCTGTGCGAAAATAATGTTTAACACGGCATACATATCTTTAAATAATTTCCGCTTTAAAAGACTTTCATCCCTTTAACATCAACCCCTACTGTAATGTTAACATTTGCCTGAATAATGCATAGGGTTTCCTGTTACAGCGTCTAGTCAACATTAAATGTTTTCTCCTCTTTGGCACGTTACATCTAATCCTAGCTCTGGAACTTCTAAGGTTCTGAGTTTTTTTGCCCTATTCATAGATTTGTATTGTTTGTCAATATGTTATCGATCTCTGTTTGTTGCCTTCACCATGTCACGTACAAGTAGGTATTCAGTATGCTGAAGAATTCACATTTGATAAATAGATAATTTTAAAACTTTATACAGTGTGATATTCAGAATGTATCTCTAGTATTATTCATACGCAGGATTTAAAATGTCTAATCTTTAAAGATTGAAATATAGTTATATTAAGAATATTCTCATGTGAACTCAAAGAGTGTATAATTGTTTTTTTTTCTCACTGGAGAAACTTAAACACGGTCAGTGTGCCCTGTAGTTGTCCCACATAAAGATTTTTCTCTTCATTTGCACAAACACTATAGGGACCGTATATCCCTTGTTCGTGTGTGAGTAATAGAGACAAGAACTGACCGTCCTGATCAAGGAGGTGAACAGAGTTAGTGTGATAATCACACACCAGGATGTGATCGAAGACATCAGTACAAATTCCATAGGGACGGAACTTTGATTTCTGACCTTTGTAGGAGAACCTGTGTTGTCCTGATTTATTTACCACCACTACTCCCTTAGTATAGTCTGATGTACAGATATCTCCATTGATGTTTTCTGTGATGTAGTGTGGTTTACTATATAGTTTTCGCCCCCTGTTATCTTTTTGTATGTTCTGTAGTTCTTTTCCTGTCTTGTTGTACCTGGTGACTCTAGCCTCTCTATAACCAGTCATTCCCACCAGTAAGTCTTCGTTGATGTGGGAGGAGTGTATGCTGAGTGGGACCCAGACTCCAGTTTTAATGAACTCAGTGATATTGTTATCCTGTGTTATCCTATTGATGACTTTATTGACTATGTCTGTAAAGATCAGATTCCCGTCTTGTGTCACGGTGTGGTGACCTTCTTCTCCACCACTGGTTTTTATCTTCTGTATCACATTTCCCTGTAGATCTGTTTGGACAAGATTGCCATATTTGTCACTGATCCAGAGTCTGTCTGATTGATATGATGTTATATGTATTATGCCAAGGAGATCTGGTACATTGAAGTCCCTGACTTTGGTGACAGATAGAGGCTGTGTCTGTTTCTCTCTGTCTTCTGTCATCTGTTGCTGGTAGAGGACCACCTCATGGTTCTTGTTTTCTGGACTTTTCATATGTTCATCTCTGCATTGTGTGCACAATTTTTGATGACAAGGGTTGCAATAAAACTCACATTTTCTATCACATTCTTCAGTGCCACACTCTAAAAAGAGCTGGACAGTGCAAGCTGTTTTAGATAATGACATCTGAAAATCATGATGTTCCTATATAGTAATAAGGATATCTCATTTTCGCAGTGAATAACTTTATTGAAGTAATACCAAAAGCTTTTTTTAGTTTTAAGAAGAATATTGATTAATAGTCAAACATCAACTAGTTTACTAGTACATCTTTGACATCGGTTTAAGTAAGTACTGGAAATATAATTGTATCGTTTGATTTAATAAAGTTTTATTCCATAAAGAAAAATAATTATACAATTGGATCTTAAAATCCCACAAATGATCTCTCACAGTAAGTAAAAAGTTTCCATAAATACCGGTATAAAGAGTTTTACGAAAGATACACATAATATGGCATAATTTCATTGTTATATATGTGTTGTATTATATAAAGTAATAAGCTTTAGATAAATAATGTACATGGTATTCTTTAATACTTACAATATATGTTCATGGCCTACAGAAACTTTTATCCAAATATTTCTGGATTTAGTAGTTTGACTAAGTCGAACACGTAAAAGTTATCTGTAGTTTGTTTACTAGATGGAGATAGATGCATTCACATGGGCTAATGTTAATAAACAAACTGATGAGAAACAGAATACCACACTTATTAGTCCTTGTCCTCCCAGATAGCATGACTATGTTGGGCCAACGTTGGTAAATGGTTGTATTGTTGGCTGGTGGTTGGCGTTGGGCATTTAACGTTGGCCCAACGTTGGGCCATTGCCAATAGGGTGCTTTTCTATTTTGATCAAATGTAAGTTGGGAAGACAATGTTGGCCCAACAATGGCGCTATATAATAAATCTGAGCTTTCCTGTATTTTTTAACGTTGGGAATAACTGCATTGAACCAACGTTGGCCCAACATTTTAAATGTCCCCTTATCCATAGTGACCAAGATCATTGGGTATACAACCATTGTCCAACGACGACCCTTCATGTGCAGAATATGCTATAATTAAGTTTTCTGCATGTTGGGCTCACCACACTGTACCAATGTTGGCGCAACGTATATGTAATATATCTAAATGATGGTGTTTAAAAAATAGTTAAAATATAACGTTGGCCCATTATTAGCCCTACTATGCATTTAGCGCTTTACTACAGTTTCTATTCTGACATTGGAATAATACTATTTACCAACGTTGGCCCAACGTTAATATGAAATAAAAGAATGTAGAAAATATTAAGTGTTAGCCCAGCCGGTAGTCTGATCCAGCCAGGGAGGGGGTCTATGATCTATAGCTAGGATTTTAAGCGTTATTGAATTTATATTTACCCTAGCTAAAACTGCAGTTGGGAGCAATTATCAAGTACATGATTTTTTTTAAAATTTTCTTTCTCTCTTTTTGTTTTTTTTATTTTGTTTTCATTTTTGTGTTTGTTTTTAGTTTGTGTTCGTTTTTTACTAGTTAATGTTCAATCAACAATTTACAGACTTGTATAAAATCTTAGGAACATCTATTACATAACTGCGCTAAAGTGCTGGTTTTAGGGGGGGCATATTCTGAGATTAGAGCAAAATTCACTGCTTAAATAATTAGGTCGACATCATCGTTGCTTTTCACAGCAGGAGACTGACCAGTTTCCTCGGTGACTGCGAAATCTGATATATTAGGATGGTTCCATCTCACAGCAGGAGACTGACCAGTTTCCTCGGTGACTGCGAAATCTGATATATTAGGATGGTTCCAGCACGTGTAACCATTTCACAATTTGGCATATGAGCAGCTTGGTGCACACGTATTGCATTTGTGAGAACTGTGAGAACAAAGGAATTTGGATATACTGCTTCGCTTAACAATATATGTAAGTATATTCTATAATTTGCTTTGATTTCGTCAAACTTTCCAGTCCAGTGTTTGCAATCTGCCTTTTTGTACAGACATCGTACACATATGCACATTAATGTTTAAGTTTAAACACAAAAGATCTGGTTCATTATAATTAGGGTGATCAAATATTTCAAGGTGAAAGTTTTGTCTTAAAACTTTTAAGTTATATGTATACACAATTAATGTGTTAGCATTTACTTTTAGGTAAAGAATTTATGCACAACTGGAGGAGAAAATGTAAAGTCCACTGTGAGAATACTCGTATCCTACCTTTTTGCCAATGACCCTGCCTTTCGGATCAATTGGAATCAAGGATATATAGTAACCAGTAAGAATTATTTTATTTACTTTATTCTGAAGGGGTGAAAAAATCCCCCATTATTTAATTATTTAGTGTTTTAAATTTTTAATTAGTAAATTTAAACGTATAAATTGTAATTTTGTCCCATTTAAAAAGCTGGAAATATTGTTTTTCATCTCTCAGTTGTAGGTGTATAAATAAACTGATCAAAATGAACAGTAGGCCACAAATTTAAGAACTTAAAGCCTATAAAATTAAGTATGTCATCAATATGTCCACAAATTTGTTACTTCGAAGGACTGTCCGAAAAACAGGCTAACAGCGGCAGCGACAGGCAGCGAAATTTGCGCCATTGTTAAAGATTGGTTTCACTCTGCCAGTTACCGGGAAGGGGATGGAAAAAGGGAAAAGAGGAAGAGGATAGATGAAGAGAAAAGGAAAGAGAATGAAAAAGGAGGAGAAAGTGCAAATGACACTGAGTAAATAAAAGAAAAAGAATGAAAACTTTGTTTAAATTAATAATATGAAGGATTGCTTGACATATTTAAAAATATAAAATCATCAACTATTAAATTCAATAGCCAATACATGGATTTTTTTTTATTTTCTTATCAGAATATTCCTGAAAAAATCATATTATTCAAGAAAGAATATTTTGAATGTCAATCCGAAATTCACATAAAATGGAGTTTACTAGAATAATGCGAACCATGTTGTGGATGACATGAATATACATGTATTTTACCCTGATTGTCCGCAAATGGCATTTTTTTATTCTTTATAAATCAAATGTTAGTCATGCATTGTGTCATCAATTTAATTTTTCCACCGTGTTGGACCATTGTAGGCCCTACACTTTCCTAGCCATTTATTGTTGGCCCAATGTTGGCCCTACACTTTCTCCGTAAGATGTTTATTGTTGGCTAAATGTAGGCCTCTATACTTACGCAGCTATTTATTGTTGGCCCAACGTTGGCCCTTCACTTAAATGCTATAAAGTATGTTGGCATAATGTTGGTATTGCGATAATATATTAACGTGACATTACTGGTATTGGCCCAACATTGGCCCTTCTATAACATGCCATGTACAATGTTGGTCTAATGTTGGCCCTACGATTACAAAAATACATTAGAACGTTGGCCCAACATCGCCCCAACATGTTGGGCCAACAAAGGGCCACAGTGCACCTAGACATTGCGCCAACGTTGGCTGCCAACGTCGGCCCAACAAAGTGTGTTACATTGGGCCAACATTATCCCAACGTAGTCATGCTATCTGGGCTGGTGCAACGCCGGCAGATATGACAGTCATATGATTTCTCCTTGAACGTTGAATTTTGTTAAATATTTGATTTTGTTGACATCATTCCATACTGGCGTGACCTGCATATTTAGAATTATCAAAACTACTTAAAACTTATTGAGGAAGTCAAACCATCTATAGGAAAAATACTCAGTAAGTACAATTGTTACATTTAAAACTTTAATGTATAACAGATGTCAGTAATGTGAAATTCAGTTGTATTGTCAATACAATGTCAGAGTCAATGGCATGGATAAGTTGAAATTTGTTTGTAAATTATCAGATTAATAACTTTAGAAAGTAGAACTATATTATTTTGTAATTAAATCCCAACTTTGATGATTTTAGTCATTCCGTGAAGTTGTTGTGGAGAAAATCCGTAAACTATCTGGAGACTACTCTTTAATGGCTTCATAATGAAAGAGTATGAGATTCTTCACCAACTAGTACTGTTAACAGAAGTCCGAAATACACTCACTGTAAGTCTTCACTTATTTTGTATTTACCAAATAAATTCCTTGTCCGAATAATCTGAAAAATTTACACATGTATAAATTGTTGAAGCGTATATTCGATTAAGATTTCAATAGGTCATTTTCTTAACTTTACTGAAACTCTGTCCTAGGTATTGTATTCTGGCGTCAACTTCTTTTTGCTGATCTTGGTACCAATACATTTCCTTCATTACAGTTATAAGGAACGCCTGTGAGAACAATGTGATGGGTGACCAGCTGAGTGACCACTACCTGTCTGCGGCCGATGACCTCTACCACTTAAGGATCCCCAGGATCTGGTGTAAGATGACTGGTACAACCGCACCACCCTACACCTAAAACGCCGCTCAGTGGCTCCGGGATCTAGAGGACCGCTGGAAACACTTTGAGAAGATCCTCAGCATGGTGTGTATTGTATCAATAAAAAATGTGGGGGATCCATGGGGAGTGGATATCCTTTTTGGAATTCATTTTTTTCGGAATTAGAAAAAATAACTTTCAAACCTACTTTCGTTCTTCTTAAAAAATTTATGATATAAAAAGATTTTTTTCTTGCAAATCGTTATAATTTTTTTTTTGCATGTTACAGGGAAGGAAGGCCGTGCCAGCCTCTTGGTTAGGAGCATTCTTCAATCCTAGAGGACTTCTTGCCTTGCTGAAACAGGAAGCCATCAAGAGTTACTGTGGAGATAGGTCCGGCAATTTTGAACAATTCACCTTCCAGACAGACACAACATTCAGAGACTTTGGACATGTGAGAACAATACCTTCTCTCTAATCCTTTTATTGTACAAATCTTGCCTTTTGCTACCAAAGCTAACAATAGACTGAAACAGAATTTGATATTAATTGTATCATTCATGGATAAATTTTCGTTTCCTTCTTTAGTTACTTCAGCCTCTACCTGAGGGCGTGTACATCCATGTAATCCACCTCTGGGGATGTTCCATTGAGAAGACGACCAATGAATTCCAGGACCAGGCCTCCAGACAGGGTTATGCCCCCCTTCCTGTCCTCCATCTACAGTGCTACCCCATTAACGAGAAACCCGCCCTACAGGAACCCTCCTTCCAGTGCCCCCTCTATCCCTCCAGAATAGCCCCACGGGACCCCATCATGGAAATCGACATCAAAAAGGAGGGTATCCCGCCCATGAGATGGGCACTACGTGGGCTCACAGCCACAATATGGCCTTATTAATTTAAGAAACTGCCAAAGACATTTTCTTGTGTTGTATTAAAAAATCCAAAATAATGACTTTTAGGAGTGATTTCTTGAATAAGATCTGATATTTTTTTCCTGACCTTGTGATTTATTGAAGTTTCACTGTATGACATAATGCATTACATAGACAAAAATGCAAAGAGGTATTTTTTTGCTGAAGGCAAGTATTATTCCGTCCTCATCACATTAAATCTTTGATTACATTTGTTGTGTACAGAGTAGATTTAAATTATTATGGTTTGTTTCTCTGTGACAGTGATGCTTTAAGTATTTGTTTATACTTTTGTTGATATTGAGTTTATATTGAAATATATATATAATTTATTTCTATTCTAAAGATTTTCATGCATATGAGTCAAAATATTGTATGCTGCT